TGAATAACCGTAAATTGACATTCCCAGAATTCCCTGCATTACATTTTAAATTTTTGATGCTTTTTTGTTGAAATAACTATGTTTCTTCTTAGTTTTTTCTTATCAGTTTTGTATATTAGGATTGTGTGTTACACCTAATGTTGTTAAATTAATGTTTATTGCATTATTTCAGTTTCATGTGTGTTACCATGATGGTCTTTGGTGTTTGTGTGAATGACATTGTGCACCTTCTATATATGTTATTTAAAAGCTGCTTGTCATGGGCTTTGATTCATCATGTGACTTTCTCATCACCACCTGCATTTGGTGGTTATCAGTGTATTACAAAGGTACAAAACATATTTCAGTACTTCAATAGGTTGGTATATTAACATTATATCAGTTAATGAAATTACGCTATTTAACTGTAAATTTAAGTTAAAACCGTAAAAACCTAAAACGTTGCTACCGTATTTTTTATGGTAAAATTCCGGCAACCACAGCTGCCGTTTTTTTACCGTAAATTTTACAGAATTTTTTACAGTGTACAGCTAAAATAGTTAGCTAGAACAGCTATTGAATGGGGCAATGGATTTTAAACACACAGCTGTGACATTTTATAATTTATATCAGAGCAGTATTTGTGGTTTAAAAAAATTTAGTTTTTTAATGATTCTTGAAAGAATCAGAATGAGAATATAACTGATACTAACAAATAGCGATGAACAGTAACTTACAACTAAATATTTTACTATAGAAAGCAACAAAATGGCAGCATTTTTCATTTCAAACTGAATCAAATTAATTGATTCAACTTTTTCCTACTACACAAGTTAGAACATTTTAGGAAGATATACTTAATTGTGTTTTGTAAAGATGTGTTTATAATACTATGTAGTACTGATGTAGCATTTAGCACTACACTGCTTGGTACATATACTGTAAGTAGACTGGTCTGAAGTTAGCCAAAGTACTGTCACGCTACTAAACAAGTATACAGAGCATTGCTACCTTTGGTTGGTTACTTCCCAGCACTACTACTGTACCTATGCATGAGTGTGTGTGTGAAACTTCACATTCAGGCTTGTTGAGGTTTTCGCCTCATGCTAGCAGTTTGAGATGCCATTTGCTAGCTGTGTCATCTCTTCATTAAGTGCAGAGGGAAATGTTATTCTCTATGAAGTTAATTCCTCAACAAAAATTATTCTTTTGTGAATAATTGATCAAAAACCTGAGTCTCCGCTAACAGTTCTGAAAAGTTTTAACTACTGTATGTAAGGCAGAGTTCGCCAAGCAAAAGTAAGATGTTTGGAAAACAGACAGTAACATAGAAACTTCTACAATATGTAATTTGGTGTGTTTTTTTTCTTTCAGGTAATGTGATATGACACCTATAGAAATAAAAGAGTACACTTTGAATGTACTTGTTAAGTTGTACTATAGTAATGGAGGTAAAATATCTTCATTACTCTAGTACTTTATGTTCAACAACCTGTCTTTACCTGTCTTGCCAAGGTCATCCAAACTCTCAAGAATTGTATGAACAGACATCAACAAGTACCTTTGATAAAATATGATTCTGAAAGTGGATAATGACAAATCAACCTAGATAATCCATTTTAAATGCATCTATCTGGTTTTCAATTCCTCAACAGGATGTAATTTCCTGACCGATTTGATTTTAGTTCCCCGCTATGTTTTATTTTTGAAGTAAAGTAGGTAATGAACTCTTCCCGTACATGTGCAGCCACTTTGTCGGATTAGCACAATGTCCTGTGGGTGTTTCCACGGCCTCTGGAGAACATAATGATGTTAATACTTAATTTAAAGAGCTTTCTTTTCTCTGCTTCTCTCCTCTGCGCTCCCCTTTCCTTCTTCTTCTGTGTGGGAGGGATGCAGAGCGAACAGCTGTGCAGAGACTCGCGATGTGGCATTTCCTTGAGAGATGATTTTCCCAAAAAGACTTAAAGGGAATTACGAGGAGATTAACGCCTTCTCGGGCAACATCAACAAACATTTGTTTGTTAGGGCAGCTGCCAACATCATTGCGTTTCTTGGCAATTAGCAACACCATTTTGTGGGTAGTTAATTTCACACCCAATGGTATGAGTTTGAGGAAGGGGCTTCCTGTTTGACCAAACAACGGAGGACAGTGATATCATCAACCCACTCTTGTTTTGTGTTAGTTTTTTGTCTAAATTTTGCCTTAACTACAAAGCTTATTGTGAATAATGGATGGCAGGTGTGCTACAACACATCAACAGAAAATAGTAACTGAAAGATTGAGCTTGAGATTAATCTGAGCACTAGTGTCCATTAGGGGTGGGTGATATACCGGTAGACATGATTAACTGGTAGAAATTTGTCAACAGGTAGAGATGTTGGACTATAATCTCTATGGCGGTTACACAGTCACGTGACATTTCTGTGCTATATGGTCTCAAAAATGTATAGTTTGCATGCATTTTTAAGCATTGCGGATTAAAAACAAGTGCTTGTAAGCCATTGAAACACAATCAGCAGCAAAAGAGAACTAATTTCACAAAATGCATGCACTGTCTGAGAGACGGTTTCTGAGTGCTGTCAAAAGAGGTGTGCGCACCTGAAGACGGTGATCATAGAGGATCTATGGAGTATTGAATGGAGTTACTTTTGCCACTTTATTGGCCTTGAGCGGTTAAATACACACACTTGTATGTGTCAGAAGGCCAGTATCGGCAAGTATACTTGTTGTGACGATTTTCATATGAGGTGCCAGCTGGTAGCTACTCCAGACAATTTATAATAATTTAAAACAAACCGTCCCAAAGGAATCTAATAATTTTTGTATCCATTTATAGGACCCCTATCATATCCTGTTTATTTTGCTGTGTTATGTTATCAATTCAAATGACCCTTCATCAACCAGCCAAGCAGGTGAAACAACATATATTCACATTTTCTTGAAATACATCACAAATTCATAATGCCTTCTGAGTGCAATAGTACAATAAATTCAAACATATCATAAGTACAACCATTCCAAACATATCAGAAAAACAGACACAAAAATACAACTCCACTGAAATGTGATTCATATACAAATTCATAACTCCCAGTCTATTCAAAATGCATGTAGCAATGTGTTTTGCACTCATGTATTGTTCATACCTTGAATCTGCAAATAGGGTTAGAAATGTCCGCTGAACTTACATCGTTCATAGCGTGAATCACCAAACGCGTTTCGAAATGTCCGTTGAGCATATGTAGTTCGAAACAGTATCCAAATCCAAATAAAGAAAACAAAACCCACCCCTAAACACAAACAAGTGAAGTACAATTAGCACAAGAATAACTATCAACTTCTTTCTTTTAGAATAAACAACAACAAAAAAGGAGAGTTGCACTTACTCTTTCCCTAGCATGCTTGGCTAATCATCAATCTCCATTTTAAATCATGTTAACGGCATAATTTCTCTCCAAACACATCATCAGCGGGAGAATCAAACACTCCCAACACGACTTCAGTGGCAGACGCGAATCACTCCAAACACAGCATCAGCGGGAGAACCAAGCACTCCAAAAACTTCAACAGTAGATTCAGTGGGAGATTCAAACACCCATAGTTCGGCTTCAGCATCGAACTACCATGTGAAATGCTACTGTGTTTCATGACACCGGACATTTTTCTTTCCGCTCTAACAATGATGTCACATCCCGATAAGGAATATTTAAAGGGGAAGACATCTTTTATTAACAGAGTTCATCACATGAAATTCACTACATTGTAAACGCAGTAATTTTGGTCTTAAGTGAAAGCAAACAGCTGAGAAAGAAAACACATGTGAAACAGTATGTTGAATCCGGGCAGCTCCTAAAGTGACAGCAGTCTAATATTCCTGCTCTCTGTCATTTATGTTAATCAAACAACAAAATAGAAAAAAAAAATCTCTCACTGCTCTTGACTAAATCACTTTTGTAACTTTAATAATAAGAAATATGTATTTAATTCACACACAGTGAAGAATATGCAGTGTTTTTATACATTTGATTACTTTATACAATGTTTGTATCGTTCCTTATTTTTGATCTTCTGTGTTCTACTGTAGTTTTTAGACAGTTAAATTGGAGAAATGCTAATTAAATGTCACTGTTTCGGTCAGTGATTTCTGCCCTCCAAATTATGGCATATTATTAACTTAACATACTGTTTTTCACCTACTATACAGTAAGGAAGTATGCATAATTGAGTGCAGGGCCTGTTTCTTTTTAACATAGCCAGCAGACCAACACAATCATTATATGCTACGTGATAATGCTACCTATTGTATTGTAGCAGCAGGTGACGGAGGGATGTTCTCACTCTAGACATCATTTGATTTGTTGAATATTTGGTTACGCCCCCAAGTGCAAGATGATCCACTTCATCATTAATATTTGTATTTTTTCCCAAGACAATGATTTCTGTCAACTTTTAGCTGTACGTTAGCACATATAGATGTCATCAAAGCTAACAGACACAGTCTAAAATATACAAAACTCCAATTAGATCTCTTCAAGTCGTCAAGGTGGATCTACCTATCTGTTTGGCCACTTCACAGCTCTCAGTCCATCCTCCATCCTAAGGTTAACCCTCCCCAATTTCTCCCAATTCTAATGAGGTATTATTAGCTGATTAGAGAGGACCCTCGTGAAAAAGATGAAAGCTAGAGTGAGCGAGTCGGAGAGAGCAAGCTGGATAGAGGGAGGGAGGTAAAAAAAGATCAACTCACTGCTAGTTGTGCTGTGGAAGCAGTGGGATAAAGCTTCACAGTGAGAGAGAGGCAAACTGGGATATATTTCTATTTATTTCCCCCCTCTATTCCCATTTCTTGGCTTGTTGCAAAGAAGCAAGAAAAAAATCAAACGAAAACAGACATAAATTTAGCATCCTAGCAGCCAGAGCGTCTCCTCTACGTGCTCGTTCAGAAGACTCTCCGTGTCTAATGTGACACATTGGGGTGGAATCGTGGGACATTCAGTCACGCAGAGCTAAGGGAAGGATGGATAGAGTGAACCGGGTTTTAAACATCGTAAGACAGATGTCTCCCAGGAAAAGGGAAAGAGTGTCTCATTGGGAGGCGGAGAGCCCGGAGACCTGCGAGGAGAGTCTGTGCTCTCTCAGCCTTTGCATCAGCGGTAAGACCACCCCTGGCAAACTTTCTCTCTCGCTCTGTCTCTCTCTCCGTCTCCCCCTCCTCCCACTCTAATCCTTTTTTCATTACTGCTTTGTGGGTTTGATATTAACTTTGACCTGTGGTGTTCGCCACATACACTGAGGAGAAAAAAATGCTCTCTCTCTCTTCTTTCCATCAGTGTGGTTTCAATTATCATCTTCTTTCCTCTGAGGGGAAGAGCGATTGAATTAATGGTGAAACTCTTGAACTTAATGTGAAGGACGCGGTTTCTTGATCCTAATGTTGTTCCTGAAGAATTGATTTTGTATTAGGCTTTTAAATATTTGATGAAATGGATGTTTTCGTGATGCGCAATCATAATTTTCGACTTTCATTTATCGGCTCAACTCATCATAGTTCATTCTACAGCTTTGATTTGGTAGGGTCTTCAGAGATCAGTGAAGCTTCAACGATATTAATTGAGTAAAGATCATAACTCTTCATTAAGTTATGACTAGCATGAGTAATGGCTGTTTTTACAGGAGGACTGACCGGTGCATTATTATCTACAGGAATTTTGAAGATACTTAAGTTTGTACGGTTGATTTTGTGTTAGAAATTGATTGGAGAACTGAATCTTTCCTTCTACATCACCTTTCATCTCATGTGTTGAAAGTTTCAATTGGGTTTCAATTCCTAGACATGATTGTAGCATCTCTCCTGTTGCTGTTATTTTTTTATGTTAATTTAAAAAAAATTAACATCGGGTTGAATGCATTTTTCTTCCAAAAATGAAGATTCCATCATTTACTCATGCTGTTTCAACACCTGTATGACTTACCTTTTTTTCTGTAGAACATAAATGTAGATATTTTGAAAAGTGGGGTCCACTCAATGTTGTTTTGGACCCCACTGACTTTCATTACATAGACAAAAAGAGCCAAACAAATATCTTCTTATGCGTTACACAGGAGAAAGAAAGTCACACAGGTTTAGAATGACATGAGGGTGATTAAATGATGATGGAAATTTTATTTTTAGGTGAACAATCCCTTTAACTAGGACTACCGAAGGTTTGCAACTAAAATGTATATGGGAATTTACTAAGAATGAATGCATTTGCTTGTTTTTGTCTGTTGTATTAGCACCCTATTCATTACAATAATTTTAAAATTATACAAAAAATTATATATTATTTAGCTATAAGGTAACTGCAAACAATTAACCCTCAAAAAAGGTCAGAATTGAGATATAAATAGAGAATTACATGATGAAAAGGCAGAAAATTCATAATTGCAAGAAAAAGTCAGAATTGTGAGAAAAAAAGTCAGATTTTGGAGATATAAACTCAGATTTACTAGACATATATACTCAGAATTTTGCAAGATATAAACTCAGAATTGTGAGAAAAAAGTCAGATGTAAGTTCAGAATTGTGAGGAAAAAAAAGAGTCAGAACTGTGAGATATAAACTCAGAACTGTGAGACATAAACTCATAATTACGAAATGTAAACTCAGAATTATGGGAAAGTAGAATGGTATGATGTAAACTCAAAATTACATGAAAAAAGTCACAATAGCAATATGTAAACTCAGAACTGCAAGAAAAAGGTCAGAATAATGAGATATAAGCCTCAGAATTACTAGATATAAACTCAGAATTGCGAGAAAAATGTCAGATGTAAACTCAGAATTTATCACATGTAAAATGAGATATAAACTCAGAATTGCGAGAAAAAAATCAGATGTAGACTCAGAATTTATCACATGTAAAATGAGATATAAACTCAGAATTGCGAGAAAAAAATCTGATGTAGACTCAGAATTTATCACATGCAAAATGAGATATAAACTCAAAATTGCGAGATATAAACTCAGAACTGCAAAATGTAAATTCAGAATTGTGAGAAAGTAGAATTGTAAGATGTAAACTCAAAATTAATTGAAAACAGTCAGAATTGTGAAATATAAACTCAGAATTGCGAGAAAGTAGAATTGCAAGATGTAAACTTAAAATTACATGAAAAAGTCAGAATTGCGAGATGTAAACTTAGAATTGCAGGATATAAATTCAGAATTGTGAAATGTAAAAAGTAAATAATGCAAAATGTAAAATCTTCCGAGAAAAAGAGTCAGAATTGCTAGCTAAACTCAGAATTGTGAGAAAATCAGAATTGCGCGATAACTTCAGTTTTTATTTTGTGGCAGAAATGGGCCTCCATACTTTTGTGTATAAAGCACAGTCTATTATAGGCATAATTATAGGCCCATTAAAAATAAATTGTTTGCATCTCTTTTTGTTTTTAACTCTTGTTGCATATTCCAGCTCAATCCCCGTAATTTCAAATGCTCCAGATGCAATCTCTCTTGCGTTTCTTCAGACAACATCAGATCTGTTACATCTCGAGCAGTTTTAAAATATTTAATCTTCCATTCACTCTCGGAAGATTACATTGCTTTACATGTGATATATTATTTAAAACCTGGCGGAATATACTCTCAGATGCATTCGCGAGAAGCCCTATGTCTTTAATGAGGCATCTCACGTTTACACACAGGGGAGGCTGTCTCGCGCCCTACGACACTCTGTAATTACAAGCAAGACTGTATTATTAGGTATCACTATTATATCGTTGCTCAATGTGACACTGTGTCTGTTCCGGATTCACAGTGTCCTGAAATAACAGTGAATTATTCCGATGAGAATTATGCATCAAACTGGAATGCATTTTAATGCCTTGTGTACAAGCTTCCAGTCAGGCCTGCTTTGATTCGATGCCGATTATGTTGTTGCTGTTCTGCACTATAGCTGTAAATGTTGCTGTGTCGTGGCACTGTGTTTTAAAAAGCCTCCAATGTGCCAGTCGATGTGCCGATCGGCTCAGACTATGTTAAAATAGATTGTGTTACAGGCAGCCGAAGTGACTCGGTTTCTTGTAACTTGGATGAAGTCAGTGTGACAAGAAAGAAAGAACGATCGGCTCCAGCTCTGTTGCTGGGTGCTAAATATACTCCATCTCTCTGAACACACACCGAGTGCACCTGGGAACTGTTCCCTAACCTTAGAAAAGGAGAGCCGTAAGAGGTAGAGAGACTCACAAAGAAAGCCTTTGTTCTGCTTTTGTGTTCAGAGATTTCTGGATTTACATGTTTGATGCTAGTTGAGCCCTTAAGCCCCGCCTTAAAATGTTACTGACCAATCCTGAATTAGCAACTGTTGCGTTCCGCCATTTAATGAGCAAACAGAATGCAGAATTAGAATCTAACCAGTAGAATGTAAAATTGGATGAAATTCACAAAAATCCCTGTAACTAATATAGACATTCACACAACTTTGCAATATTTATAAAAAACATGAGCTTATAAAAATGTGTATTTAAATGATGTGATATACCTTCATAAATATATTAATAGTAATTTATAAATACAATAAATTTAAAAGTTTATGGTTTGGTGATATTTCATAATAAATATCTTACACTCAACAAAGCTGCATTTATTTTGGTTAAATACAGTAAAAACAAATATTGTGAAATATTATTGCAGTTTTAAATAACTGCTTACTATTTGAATATATTTTAAAATGTGATTTATTCCTGTGATA